TTCTCCCCTTACCGACTTAGGTGGAGACATCAACCATACCCGCCAAAGTTCGGCACTTCAAATGTTTGTCCCTTGACAATGTCTTAGTTAATATATCTGAAATATTATCATCTATATGAACATTTTCGAGTTGCAACAATTTTAAATCTAACACATTACGAATCTAATGATATCTTATATCATTGTGTTTTGATCTCGAATGAAAAGTAGAATTTTTGCTCAAATGAATAGCACTTTGACTATCATAATAAAGCACATACATTTCTTGTTTCAAACCTAACTCTTGCAAAAAAACCATAACTCTTCTTTATAAGTTTCCGTAATGACAATAAATTTAGTTTCGGTAGTTAAGAGAGTAACACATTTTTATAATTTAGATTGTCATGCCACAGCTCCCCCTGCAAATGTCATCAAATACTCCGAAGTAGATTTCCTAGAATCAACATCACCAGCGTTAGAATTCGTGAACCCATCAAGTATCGGTTTACCATCCTCAAAACACAAACACACCTTTGAAGTCCCTTGAAGATACCTTAGAATCCATTTTACCACTGCCCAATGTTCTTTACTCGGATTAGAGAGAAAACGACTCACCACACCAACCGAGTGAGCAATATCCAATCTTGTACAAACCATGGCATACATCAAAGAACCAACAGCTAAAGCATAAGGAATTTTCTGCATCTCTTGTCTTTCTCACTTGTAGGACATTGATTCAAACTAAGCTTAAAGTGGCTCATAAGTGGACAATCAACCGGGTTTTCTTTATCTATGTTGAACCTCTCAAGAACTTTCTCAAAGTAGCTTTCTTGAGATAACCAAATTAGTCCATTTTTGCGATCACGAACAATTTTCTTACAGTATTTGCTTTGCTGGTCCCAAATCTTTCATAGCAAAAGACGTGCTCAACTCTAATTTCAATCTGTCAATCATAGTGTAATCTTGACCCACAATTAACATGTCGTCAACATAAAACAAAAAAATAATAAATTTTCCATCTGAAATTTTTTTCACAAACACACAATAGTCCGAAGTGGTTTTAGAAAAACCATTATTCATCATGAAATAGTCAAATTTTTTGTACCATTGACACGGGGCTTGCTTGAGGCCATATAAACTTTTCTTCAATTTGCAAACAAATTTTTCTTTCCCTTTCTATACAAAACCTTCCGGTTACTTCATGTAAATTTCTTCTTCAAGATAACCATGAAAAAATGTGGTCTTCACATCAAGTTGCTCAACTTCATGATTCATACTTGTGGCCATGCCAAGTACAACCCGAATAGAAGACATCTTCATAACCGGTGAGAAAATCTCATCAAAGTCAATATCGTTCTTTTGCCTAAAGCCTTCCACAACAAGACGTGCCTTGTACCTTAAATTCTTGCTATGATTCTTTAATTTGAAAACCCACTTATTTTTCAGAATTTTCCTCTCCTTAAGCAACTTCACTAAATCATAAGTGTGATTTTCAAGCAAGGAATTCATCTCTTCTTCTATGACCTTTTTCCAATCTCCTTTCTTTGCATGCTCAATTGTTTTTTGGTAGCTCTCGAGCTCCCCTTGATCGGATATCAACACAAACTCATTAGGTCGATACTTTTTCAAAGGTTGCTGGTCTCTTGTAGATTTTCTCAACTCAACTTGTGGTGGTGGTTTTTGAATTGGATGTCCTTCCTTAATTTCAGGCTTAACTTCATTAGCATTAAAATCATCCTCCACATCTTCAATAGGTGGCTTCAATCTCTCCCATTTTCATCGTCAATTGAAGATGAAGAAGATGGATCCATGTCAATGAGATCACTAGTTTTTGGCTTCGTTTGATCACTTTTGCCAAAGTCTTCAATTGTTTGATCTTCATTAAACACAACATCACGGCTTCGAATAACTTTCTTGTCGACCGGATCCCGCAATCTATAAGCAAATTTATCACGCCCATAGCCAAGAAAAATACATTGTCTTGACTTACTATCAATCTTGGACCTCTCATCCTTTGGAATGTGAACAAAGGCTCGACAACCAAACACTCTCAAGTGCTCATACGACACATCTTTGCCAGTTCAAACTTTTTCAGGAACATCACCATTCAAAGGATAGGAAGGAGACAAATTGATCACGTCAACCACTGTTCTCATTGCCTCACCTCAGAAGGATCTTGGCAATTTAGCATGTGAAAGCAGACACCTTGTTTTTTCCACAATGGTGCAGTTCATCCTCTTGGCAACGCCATTTTGTTGAAGAGTCTTTTTAACTATTTTTTGATGCCGAATACCTTGACTACAACAATCCTCATCAAATGGCCCAATGTATTCACCACCATTGTCTATTTAGATGCACTTCAATTTATGCCCTGTTTCTCTTTCAACCATGGTCTGAAAATACTTAAATACATCTAGAACTTGATCTTTAGTTTTTAGTATAAAAGCCCAAATTTTCCTTGAACAACCATCAATGCAAATAACAAAATAAAGTGCATCACTATGTGTTCTAACTTTTAAAGGACCACGAACATTCGAATGAATCAACTCCAAAACATTTTCTTTTCTTGAAGCAACATTTTCATAAAAAGAAACTCTATGTTGTTTACCCGCCAAACAATGAACAAATGTTTTAAGATGTGTACCTTTCAAACTGGATAGAAGCTCTTTTTTGAACAAAACTTGCAGCCCATTTTCACTCATGTGCGCAAGTCGCTTGTGCCACAATTCGGTGGAAGTATCATCTTCAAGTGCATTGACAACACCTTTATAAATTTTTCCTGGCATCGAATAAAATGTATGAGTCTTCTTGCACTTGGCCACCACCAAAAAACCCTTTGTGAGCTTCTATATTCTATCACCAAATTTGTTGTTGTAGCCTTCATCATCAAGCTTCCCGGTAGAGAATGTCGGGAACATGCCTCACATCTTTAAGCAACAACTTACAGTTCAAATTTGTTTCCAAGCAAACATCACCCATGCTAATAATCTTGGACAAACCTTCATTACCCATTCCAACGCAACCATAATCTCCTTTGGTGTAGGCAGTGAAGAAATCAACTCAAGAAGTCATATGAAAAGAAGCATCGAAATCAATCACCCAATTGCTCTCTTGGCCCACAAAATTGATACAATCATCTTCACAAACGACCATGAGATCATCGGTATAGTAATCATCATTGTGTCTTCTTGCTTCTTATCCACACTTCTGTCACGCCTTTTCTTCTTGTTCTTAAGCGTTCGGCATTCTCACTTCATGTGTCATTTCTCATGACAATAATAGCACTCAATGTCTTTCTTTGAAAAAGAACCATATCTTGATTTGTTCAGCTTTGATCATGACCATGAGGAGTTTTACTCCTCCCCCTTGTTTTGCTTCGGCCTCTCACAACAAATGTTTCTAAATGAGAGGAATCCACTAATTTTCTTCTAGTTTCTTCATTTAACATGCTATTAGTGACTTGGCTCATTGTGACAACTTTATTGGGCGCTGAGTTACTAACTGTCATAACCAAAGTCTCCTAACTTTCGGGCAAAGAAATAAATAACATCAAAGGCTGCAACTCATCATCAAAAACAAATTTCATAGAAGCAAGTTGGTTAACAATACTATTTATTTCATTCAAATGTTTCGGAATGGGGTTGTCATCTTTATATTTTAAATTAACCAACTTTCGAAACATAAAAGCTTTATTTGTGGCTGATTATCTTTTTCTGTCATAAAGACCCTCTAATTTTTTCCATAAATCATGTACCGAAGTTTCAATAGCAACATACTGAAATACACTATCATCAATCCATTGACGGATAACACCAACGACTTTTCGATTAAGCCTCTTCCATTCATCATCTTTCATACCCTCGGGTTTGCCATTATCACCCTCAATGGGTCCATACAAATCTTTACAAAATAATAGGTTCTCCATTTTCATTTTCCAAGTTATCCAATTGCTTCCATTGAAACTAGACATACGACCTACATTCCCCTGAATTGATTTACACAAATAAATAAATCTAAATAAACCGTAAGCTCTGATATCAGTTGTTAGAGAAAATATATGATTTCCCACAAGTAAATCAATCAATGGGAATAAAAACTAATGCGGAAAAATTAAATCATCAACGACACAAGAATTTTATGTGGTTCCCTCAATGTGAGGTACGTCCACTGGATCGAAATCCGATTCCACTATTAACCCAAAAGTTTCCAATTGATTACAAACAAGAAACGAATGGTCTCACAAAACCACTCTTAGGTGAATTCCAAATAATCACAAACAATCAAAAGGAAAAATCTCACCAAATAGATAAATGAGAGTCTTCAAAATAGAGTTGTAAAAGACCCAAAATAATAACCCAAAACCTAAATCAGCCACACAATAACTACCGAAATAAACCCACAGAATTTAATTTCACCAAGCTTTGAACTCACTAATTGAATTACTCAGCAAGCACCATATCAAATTTGTTGCTGCCACACAAAACCAATACCCACCGAAACAATGTTGTAGCAGCCGCACAATCCTTCAGAAGAGCAAAGACAATATTTATATATATAGTTAAATCTTGGGCTTTTTATCAAAACCCTAGTTGTTATCAAACTGAATATTAAATACCTATTGGGCCTCTAAAAGTCAGATATAATATATTCAAAATATATTATAACCAATCCCAAACTAAAAGAAATATTTTAATAAATCAATTGGGTCTCATACTCCACTAAGGAGGTATACCCAACAGATTATTTGGTCGGTGATAAGACCATGGTCATAAATCTCATCCCGTACTAGCTCAAATGGCCCGGTATGCACCATTTCAATAGAAATACTGTACACTGCATCTGATCATTCGATTGGGTTGATTTAACAGTTTAGACTAGTTAATTCATATTTTTTCAAATTCCTTTTGGAGTTCATATAAGACAAACTACCATACTTGTGTTTGTCCGACTAAGACAAGAGGCTTTTATGTATTGATAAATTTGCACTTTGTTCTATTGTAGAATTCAAAGTTGACATAATGATGGAAAAGTTAGGAATGGAAATGGTTGAACAATGCGGGGGCTTACCTCTAGCCATTGTGGTGCTTGGAGGATTTCTAGGAACAAACTTGACCCTGAGCCATTGGCAGAAAGTGCAACAAAATTTTAGTTCTTATCCAAAAAGAGGAGAATACATCGGAGGAGAACAAGATGGAAAAGTATTGGATGTGTTAGCTTTGAGTTACCAAGACTTACCATATCAGCTCAAGGCATGTTTCCTTTATTTGGGCAATTATCCTGAGGATTTTGACATTGATGCAGAAAGACTATATCAATTGTGGATGGCTGAAGGCTTCATATCCCAAGAAGAAAGAGGAGAAGACGAAACCATGATGCATGTAGCGGAACGTTACTTGGGTGAACTAGCACAAAGGTGCATGGTTCAAGTGGAATTGCAGCCAGAGGAGTATTCAATAATTAGAGAAAGCAGAGGGTTTCGATGCTGTCGACTTCATGAGCTCATGAGGGATTTATGTTTGTCAAAGGCAAAAGAGGAAAACTTTCATCAGGTCATTGAATATGGGCATATAAATCAGCAAGAGCATCCCTCTTCTTTATCCATGGTGACATCAATTGGTGGTAACACTTACCGTAAAATACACAGACTTGTCATCAATCTAGATAAGAAGAATAGTAGCTTTCGTCTCTTTGAACAAGAAGAAAGAGCTCAGCATATTCGGACAATTTTATTCTTCACAGGTGATGATTGTGATTATTCGTCTGGAGAACAATTGACCTGTTTATCCAAAGAATCTAAATTTCTTAGAGTTATAAATTTCGATGGAAATACAATTGGCAATACAGAAGGAACAAAAGAGTTACCAAGAGAAATAGGAAACCTTATCCTTTTGAGGTACTTGGGTCTAAATATGACTGCATTCACAAAGTTGCCATCATCAATAGGCAACCTTAGACACTTGCAAACCCTTGATTTGCGAACATCCTATCATCGTAAGATCAGTATTCCAAATGTGTTATGGAAGATGGAAGGATTGGTACATCTTTATCTTCCTTTGTTTGGTCGCTTTTGTACAAAAGTCAAACTACGAGTAGATGGTTTGAGGAATCTGGAGACGCTACAAAACTTGGATTCAGATAAGGTTAATGTTAGAGATCTCTTCAAATTACCCAATCTCCGAAGATTGGAGAATCTATGCGTACGAGGAAAGCTTAAGGACCTAACAATGGTCAATAACTTCATCCTTAACAGCAACCATCGACTACAACACACATCCATTACTATTGAAAATTGTGATTTTTGTTCAGAAGATGGATTAAGCCTCCTGAGACAACTGCTTGGGTGTGTTTGCCTTGTTCGATTGCGTATAGATGGGTTTATAGGTAAGTTACCACAGTATGAACACCAGTTATTATGCTCAAGCCTTACCTTTTTATTGCTGCAGAACTATAAACTTAAGGAAGACCCAATGGCAACACTGGAGAAGTTGCCAAACTTAAGGATTCTATTCTTAGGTTCTGCCTTTGTAGGAAAGGAAATGGTTTCCTCTACTCATGGTTTTCCTCATCTCAAGAGACTAAATCTTTGGTATTTAGAAATTGAGGAGTGGAGGGTGGATCACGGAGCCATGCCTAAACTTTCTTCTCTACAGATTGCATTTTGTAAGAAATTGCAGATGCTTCCGAATGCATTGAGATTCATCCCTACCCTCCACGAATTGCAGATTTCTTGTATGCCTAAAGCATTCAATGATAGGCTTCGAGTGGTCGATGGCCAAGAAGGAGAGGATTTTCACAAAATTAGCCACATCCTTTCCATTCGTTTTGAAGGTAAAACAATTCCTTTTTCTGGATGAATCCAAAAGGGAATAGTAAGAATTCTAATATGCCATAGTAAGAATTCTAAGAATTCTTATAATTTTGTTTATTAAAAATTAAAAATAATTTAATTATAAAATTTCTAATAAATTAAAATTATTTATGAAATTTTTTGTTCATATTTTAATGAAAAAGATAAAATGAAAATAAAATATAATATTATGAACAATTGAAGTTTTTTACATATAACAATTTAAAAAGAAAAAAGAAAAAGGAAGAAGTAGAAGATTTATTTGTTAATATTGAAATTTGATATAACTCAATACTAATTTTCAAAACAAAATAGAACTTTTTGATATTTTTTCATTGTGATCTATGATTTTTTTTAATACAATATTGTAATGTTTTCAATTAAAAATATTATTTTAGTTATATTAAAAATATTTTCATATTAAATTAGGGGTAAAATTGAGATATCATCCACCATTATGGGTAATAAACTTTTTAAAAATATGTTATAAAAAATAGGAATTAGTTGTACATATTGATAGGACTTGATAGTAATCTTAGGAACAAAATAGGACTTGTTAGTTATTTTCACTAGAATTTTTTAGAAACAGAGGAGAGTGAAGATCAGTACTTCTTCCACACATCTCTCTCCCTCTTTGTCTTATTTTTTCCCCCTTTTCTACATATGCCAATAACTTTTCCTCTTGAAAAATATTTAGTTACTTACATCTTATTTATTTGGTAGTAGACTTGTTTCATACATATTTGAAAATTTATACATACATCTTATTTATTTTTAGTTACTTATTGCTCCCAAGACCTATACTGGGATTCATAATATAATTGTATCTACATCACACGATATTTTTGTTGGTATTTTTCTGTCTAAATTTTTAGTCTCTAGAATTACTCTCAAGACATCTATTTATCTCTCTCTTACTCTTAATAGTTATTTCTCACCATGAAATGCTATATAGATGATGGTATCAACTGTTACAATGAAAGCAAAAAAAATATTGTGTTGTTGAATTTCTTATTAACATGGATTTAACTTTTAAATCTACATCTTATCTTTTCCTTTTGCATAGCTTTGAAATTAGTTATTTAAATTAGGAAGAAAAAAATTTATTTTTACACAGCAGTTGTCCTCTGTGGATTGTTGCAGACCACCCATCAAAATCATGGAAGCGTGCTCTTAAAAAAATAAAGAAAATTTTTCTCTTAAAAATAGAAGAAAATAGATACTGAACTACATTTAGAATTGGAGTGGAAAGTTGTATGTATTGAGGGGTACTAATAAGCATTAAAAAGATTGTACCATCATATTCTTATTGATCATTACTAATGTTGTGTTCCTATTCATTACTAATTTCATGCCCCTGTTCATTTGTACTGTCATGTTTCAAATTCATATGCTTATGCTATGTTCACCATGAAGGTGATGAAGATTAAGAAGATGAAGGCATTGTCGTTAGGGAGGCTCTTGTCTCTCTTGAAGCTGAAGGTTTCAGGTAATAATTTTTGAAATTGAAGCTCAGCAAGTTGTTCATTAGTTAAATTTTATGTATAGAACTGGGGCTGATGAAAAGGATATGCTAGCTGATTGTCATATAATTGCTCTATATTTTCTCAACTCTTGTTTCGTTCATACTAGAGGGTCTTGTAAAATAGATGGCCCATGATCATGAAGTAGCCAGGTTTGCTCTATCTATGAATGTAATTTCTATGGTTGATATGGCATGTATCCAGACTGATCTTAGGCTGGTTTGACCTTCATATAGTTTTTCAATGAACTTTTCTTTGGTTAATAAGAAAAAAAAGGAATGAAATCAGAGGATGCATTCTTTCTCCCAGCTGTTTACTATGATTTTAATCCTTTTTACAACTTATGAGGCTGTTATGAAAAGTTTGACCAAAGTGTATGCAAATTACATAGTTAAAGCTATCAAAATTGGAATCTGAACACTTTGCTTATTAATCTGAAGATATATGTAGATTACAAAAGAAGAAAAAGAAAAAAAAGAGCTTTTCATATAATCTAGAATTTTTCAAATGGACCCTTGAAAGTGCAATTCAATTTGAAGAAAATAAAATGAGAACAGGAAGAACCAGTATGGTATAAACAAAATTCTTTGTTCAAACTATTTGCGTAGCCAATCACACCGTTTGCAGTAAATTGCCAACCATCCAAGGTTTTGTGATAATACATGATATGTTTGCAGCATCACTTTCACGAAACCAATCATCAGTGGTAAATAATTTACTAATTAGTTACCTCTTTAAAGTATGTTCAACATTTATTCTAATCTCCAGATGAAGTTATCAAATGCTACATTGAAAGAAAATTATGTTGGTGAATTTCTGATTGTGGTATTTACATATTGATCATAGCCTAACTTAACTTAACATGGGGTTAACTTTTATCACCATGTTTTCTTTTTCCATTCACATGTTAGCTTTGGCACAAGTTAGGTGTAGACGTCCCCGAACGCCCCGGGAGGGTGAGTCCCGTTCTGTTCATTTTGGGGTTACTACAGCTCGGACTCTCAAATCGTTATGGTTCTTAATCTTGAACCAAAGAGTCCAAATCCGGCAAATCGTTTTGAGAAACAGATTTTTGAAAAGAAGTGCCAAACATGGACTGCTTTGCCAGATATAGAGTCGCCACCTAAATATTTTTTACGGGGGAATTTAGGAAACCCTGACTCGGTGCCGAAGGCCACATGTCCGTCATCACCGGAGTTGTCTCGGCTCGGGAGCTAGGGTACGATTGGGGAAGGTCAGCTATGAGCACCCCCTCTCGCCCGATCCGAAGATCGGCCTCTACTAACCGTGATATCCGTTTTTGAAAACGTTATGTGTTCTTATTCCAGTTATTAGCCTAGAATCACTAAATTATGCGCACAGCAAACAAGTATAGACTAGATTGCCTAATTTGGAAATAAGCATGGCATATCCGTTTGTTTTGGAAAATGCGGATTTCAACGAGCTATTCCAACTCAAGCAATCCAGCCTTCATCCACAGGCATTCAAACAGTTTATAACACATAAGCATCTACCCACATAGTAAGCATGCTGTCATGATAGCATTCATACGCATGCGAGATGCTAAAGCATAAATACTTACATCGTACTCCGTGCCAAAACAATAAACTAGTTAGCAAACATGCGTGATCCTAATTCATGTCAAGTTGGCTAATGCAACACATGCAAGATGCAATTAGAGTAGGCTCGGCTAACCTAAACATGGCATGTGAAATGCAGTCAGTCAATGCATGTATTCAATTCGGAATTTGAAGTGCAAATGTAGTTAGAATGATGTGCCGAGCTTGGTGCGTGCAAGGCAAATGTATGAATGCACGCATGCATTGCATGAGGTATGCTAATTTAAACGTGCCCTAATACTAACCATCAAAGCAGGTAAATAAAAGGGAAGAAAGAAGTGGGGATTGGAAGACATATACATCACTCACACACACTTATTACAGATTTGTCCTCGCCCGGAGGGACCAAATAAATAATACAAATTAATTAACTACGCAAGCTAATTTAATATTACAAATTGCCTAATCAGTTAACAAACTAATTTAAACTAGGAAAAGCAGTAAACCGCCTCGGGAGGAGAGCCAGATGCAGCGCATGCTCGGGTCCTACTCGGAAGTGCACGGCCATGCATAGTCTGCCTCTGTTTTCCCTGTTCTGCCTCTCTGAAGACTGCCAAAGTCTCAAGGATGCTTCTCTGGATACTGGGAATCACCATCGGCTGAATAGAATTACCACCGGCAGTGGATTGTGGTCACCGGCACAAAATGAATCCATCGGCTGGTAATTTACTGCCTGTCGGCAATGTATACTGCTGGTCGGCAAAGAATGCCTGCAAAACCTGCAACTCACGGCAGCAGAGGACAGAACTTGCATGGCAGTACAATTCAAGCAATGTATGCACTAATCATGTCCCCTATCATGTTTGTGACTCAAAAGGGCATGTGTCTCGATTCTCGGACCGCCAATCACGCATTTCCATGCATGATGGCCCAAAGAATCAAGTGTGCAACTTTCATGTCAAATGAAATGCAAACCAAATAAACGAACCAAGGCCCAATTCCTATCATCAAGTTAAGGAACAAGGCATGCATGCAAGATGCAATGCAACCTAGGCATGCAAGCTAAGGATGCAACATGGCATGGCAAGACACTTATGCAAGCATACAAGCAAACACGAGGCAATGCTAACTGATGAAAAGGTGGACTTAGACATGATTTAGACAACTCTAAATAGGCCTAAAACAGTGGCCAAAAACCAAGGAATTGGGATCAAACATACATACACACATGCAAGTAAGTTGGACCAACACTTAGGCATTAAATAAGCAACTCTAAGGCACACTTGAAAAGGGATATCATGGACAATTAGCATGCAACATAAGCTCTGAAAATCATGTTAAAACATGGTGCCAAACCAAGCAACAAGGCAAGCTAAACATGCAGCAATGGTCCAAGCATTCAAGGCTCACCAAAGAGGCAATGGACTACACTTAGTACAACCACACATGGCAGGACTTAGGCAACCAAAGACAGAGTTTTAACACATGAAACTAAGCCTAAAAGACCAACTAGATAGCATCTAGATGGTTTGAATTTAAAGGCATGCATAAATGCTAAAACATGGAGCATGCAAGGCAAGCTTCAAAAGCTTCAAAGAGTCATCCAAGGCAAACATATGAGCATGTCAAAGGGACTGAAATAACATGTAGGGTGGTTCCAAACCACCGAAATGATGCAAGCAACACATACTACACATTCACATACTTGAAGCATACAAGCTCAAATACAAAGGAGATATACTATGCATGCCAAGATCAACCCAAACAACTATGGACAGACCTAAAACATGGCAAAATGAGCACAAAACCTTCACAAGGCTAAACCTAAAACATGCTAGAGCATAGGCTAACAACCTAAGGCATATTAAGGCAATAACAAGGCATTACATGGTAGGTATGCTAAGTATGCATGGTGTACCAAAATCAACACACAAACAGATTATATCATGGCATAATGAGCATGGAAAACAGCCAAGACATGATCAATACACACTCTAACATGATGCTCCCTCAAGAGGCCAAAAAGGGTCCCCTTTCAAGGACAACAAGGAGAGGGGGTGGCCATCCCCTTTTGGAGACTTCAAGGCACCATCTTCGCCACTGAAATCCCTCAAGATTTCAGTGGTGAAGAGGCCCAAACACCAAAGTCTCAAAACTTGCACAAAATAGCACAAAATGAGGCCTTACAAGGCTTAAGAGGGGTCAAACAACCCCAAACA